TACTGTCAAAGGTTAGCATGAAGGCGAGAGGGAGGGGGAGGTCGACGAGATTCATGTCTTGGCTGAATCTGGATGGAGTATCAAGGTCAGCTGAGGGTCTAGATGGTACTGGAGGGAGAGTATAGGTAGGCTTACCGGTTAATAATAATGCCTGTATCGGTCTTGATGAAGAAAGACAGGGGCGCTCTGGCAACAGTTCAGACGTCAGACATCTTCATTCCAGTCAAGGAGGTAAAACAGAACAAATCTTACGAGAGAGCGGCTTTGAGGACGCTAAAGTGAAGCCCCTTAGCCGAGTGAGGAACAATGATAACGAGGAAGTAGCTTGAGAGCGGAACACAACTCTGTCAGTAACTCAAGTCCCGCCTCTATATAGGTGGGAATAGGTAGGAGGGATTTGACGAGGTATGGGACTCACTAGCACTCGATGGCGAGAGCCATTTCCGTTAAGGTGCCCCAGAGGATGTAGACGCCAACCCACAACCCTAGATTATCTTGTCCTCCTTTCTCGTTGGCAGCCACCCAGAATTTGACCCAGAGACCTGAGAATGAATTAATAATCTTCGAGAAAGCTCCAAGGCGAGACTAATAGCCGAGCGAAATAGAAGCTGGATGCGATCTTACGTTGCATGATCCTACAGATTGTCTGAAAAACGACCATCACCACAAAAAGCCCAAAGGGTGTGATTCCCATTGACTTGATGTAATACAAGAGCGAACTCGTATTCGCTGCGCCACGAGTCTTTATGTTGAGAGAGTCATCTGGCTTGCGAACCGCGGCAGCCTTGTCCTTCTTGTTGGCATGCTCTTGAATTTCTGTTTCTGCTTCTTCTGAATCGCTATTCTCGTGGTCACTCTTCTGGGTGACCTTAAGTGTACTGACGTAGCCTCCGGTCTTGTAGAGGTCTTCGTATAAGCCCATCTCCGAGATGATTCCGTCGCTGCTGAGGGAAATAATGTTATCCGCAGCACGAAGCCATGAGGCTGTGGCCATCATTGACTATGTCAGTGTTTGCTCGTTCATACATCTTGATGGCAAAATATCAGGGGCACTGGGGCAGATATGAGGGTTATTCACCATTGTGCGTCGCAAAGATCACGGCTCTACCCTCCCCACGCAAGATTCCATCAGTGCCAAACAGGGCGCTGAAGCATTTCGAAGCCGTCTTAGAGTCGAGGCCTTTCAGGTTATCGTCCATGATGATGATTTGCTTTCCGCTGTAAACGGCTCTGGCAAGTGCCTATCGAAAATCGTCAATATTATGTTGCACCTGATCTCGAAAAAGGCTTGAGCTAGTATACGTACAATCCGATGCTTTTGACCACCACTGAGAGCCGAGCCTGAGCTTCCAACTATGGTCTCGTCGCCCTGCGGGAGTAGATCAAGATCCTCTTCCAATTGGCATGCTCGAATAACCGTGCTGTAAAAGTCAGTCGTGTCGTGCGTAGCAACGCTACCGATGATGTTTTCCTTGATGCTCTGGTTCAGGATCCAGGGGTCTTGGTCGCAGTATGCCACGTCCGTTGAGCTTGCATACTCCACCGACCCTGAGGTACGGTAGGTTTCCCCCACAAGGGACTTGAGCAATGTAGATTTGCCGGAGCCGACGGGCCCGACGACAATTGTGAGACTCCCTCGGCGAATCTCGAGGTTTAGTGACTTGAGAATGGCTTGGTCTTTGTGCCAGCCGAAGGAACCGTTCGAGACTTTGATCAGGGGTTGGACCTGGCTGTCAGTTTGCGACGGCTCGCTGTTTCCGTTGCTTTCCTGCGCCGCGGTGTCTGGAGAGGTGTTTGACTTGAAGAGGCGATAATCCACCCGCTTCTCTTTGACGAGGTACTCCTGGATTCTGTCTATGCATCCGATGGCGGCTCCGAGGTTGTTTGGGATCATGACTAGCTCGGAGACGGGGTTGATCAGGATACCGAGGAGGCTGAGTGATGTAAAAGCCTGGACTACGTTGAGCGGCTGACCGCCGGATAACTTTGAGATGATGCCAAAGGCGGCGAAGGTAATAGACGGAGTCATGATTGATGGGAATTGACCTGGTACATGTGGTTTTAGACATGCCGCCGACCAGGGGTAACGGATTGCCTAACTTACCGATGAGAACGTTGAGAATCTGCACTCTTCTGAACCTCTTGGACTCATCCAGCTCAAAGTCTCGGAGACCTTGAATCTGGTCCTGGACTGTACTAGTCAGGCCGCTCATCTTGACGCCCTTGATTGAGCCGATGATTTCTGTGGTGATGCCAACACGCTTCTGGATCGCCTGCATCCACCTCCTCTGCCGCGGCGGGATCAACTGGCCCGTTCTGATGCCGGCCGACACACTGACTGTCAAATCTGTTAGACAAACACGAGGTCCAAGATATCAGAGCTGTCGGCAAATGATTGACTTACGAAGCGCAATGATGATGGGAGCAACGCTCACAGCCCCAAGCTGCTCGCTCATGATCCATATGGCGAACCCGAGCTGGATGAGATTAGGGACGATGGCGACGCACCACTGAGACGCCACCGTGATCCGCTCAACCTCGGTGCTCATCAACGCGACTGCCGCTTGGGAATTACCTGTCTCCGCGCGGAGGGTGAGCATGTTCTGGTAGATTATCCCAATGAGGGCGCCGCGGATGCGGGTAATGAGGCGATGGGTGAGTTGGCCAGACCATCTAGTAGAGATCTGTAAGTATGCGAGAGGCGTGTGGTTAGTCCTGTGTTCTCAGCTGGCGAAGTTCGGAATAGTGGCACGTACGGCTAGGCCGAGGTATGTGATGGCAAAGGCAGCGACGAGGGTTTGGCCGTAGATAATCGGCTCGTCATCGTGATTTTGGATGTACCCAATTGTGGTTTGCACGAGAAGGGGCTGTGCTAGACCAAAAACCACCATACCGATGCGCGGGATATGGATGAAGAGTAGCTCGGCTCGGAAGGCCTTGAGGACCGCTATGACCAAGGCGTGATTCTTGTCCTGATCGACTATGGGATCATCAATTAGTACCATGTGTCACTCAAGAAGCAGCACAATTATCAGGAGGAGATGAGGAGATTTACGTACCATTCTTCCACGCTGAGGAAAGCCGCTCAAGCACCGCTTCTCCATCAAGGTCTCCATCAAGAGGATCAAGGTCTTCTGCTAAGAGATTCCTCTTCCACCCTAACCGCAGCAGAGGGTTGACCCATGTCGCGAAGCTCTTGCCAAAGATACCCGATGTCTCCTCTCGGGAGACCCGACGAGCAGGTATGGCGAGGATGACTGGCTTTGACATAGATTCGGCCGCGAGTAAGAGTACCTTGAGGATGACTTGGACTGTCAAGAGCAGCGCGATATATCCCTCGTTATTTTGTGGTGATAGATGCCAAGCCGTTCTCACGCGAGCTGCGTCGAGAAATATGGTCATTAGTAGGAAAAGCTGGAGGAGGGCTGATGGAGCGAGTGATTTGCGGTGCTCTTGATCCGATAGCAATGTGAAGAGAATGCTCGTCGTAACCGACAAGATCCAAGACGCAAGATTGACACTAAATTGACTCTGACGGTCTCTTTCAAGGGCGGCTCCCATTAATAAGATGATTTGGAATGCCATGAGAGCTTGCCATAGGACCTATTGCCGTAGATCAGCCTCGTCGACTCTACCAACTCAGATCTATCGGAACATGCCTGTTTGAGCGTGAGAAGACCTGACCCTTGGCCCATCCACGCGTCGCTCTGCTGCCCAGCATATCTGACGATGCCAGAAGTCAAAACAACAGCAATTGGTACGATGGCGATTGAGGCGGGTGCAATCAAAAGTAAAAGGAAGCTTAAAACGATGTGGCTAACCAGGTTAGCCACTGGGCGGATGTGTCCATGTGAGACCACTGCTCTAGCCTGGAGCTGGTGGCGACGATGAAGCCCCGAAACCAATGCGATTGAGCAAGGAATGATGGAGAAGATGACTTCCTCAAGGAGAGGACTGAGGTCATAGCCTTGATAGCACGGCACGGAGTTCCACGGTGAATCATCGGAACACGCAAATGCGTCGTTCGGGATGACCTGTTGGCTGTGTCTGAGCTCCGTGGTCGTTGCGGACGGTGTGAATATCAGAGAGTTCATCGCAGGCTCAAGCGACAGAATCGCCGGTCGCTGAGTATTCTTATGAAGCGCTTGCGGCTCGATTTGCTTCGACGTTTACCGCCTCGCTGATAGTTCACCACATTCGACAGTAAGATGTCGCGCCCAAGAATGACTGACCACCGCGAGACCGCGACGACCCGACAAAAGTCCCTTTTGGCGAAGGATTCGCAGCAGGGCAGTTTCGAAATTGTAAGACCAGGACAAAGACCCCGGACAATCGGGAGTAGCCGGTCTTAACGTTCCCCAAGCATGTTTCTCGGCGCTTTAGGCTGACGGTTCACCTGCCTGAAGGAGCCTAATTGGCACTCGTACAGTGACCCTCCCCCGAAAAGAGTTCCCTGTCAGCAGACGATAACATCGGGAAGAGACGGACTTCAAGATGGCGTCAGGCTCACATATGTCACTCGATGGATTGCCTCCCTGATGGGAGGATTTCGGATGCTGGTGTCTCTGGGACGAGAAATCTCAATCTTGAACGACTTTGTTGGAGTCGACACGGATTAACACGCTGAAAGGGCGAGGAACAATCGATGAGGTGTATGGTCCTTGAGGGGCAAGCCACCCCTGGCTGATTGTTGCTGTGCCGCAACCACACAGCAAAACGGAATGAATTGACTTAACGAGCCTACGAGACTTCTTCGGGTCGTGAGAGAAAACTGTATGAACATAAAATAACTCAAGACTGCAGTTCAAGGGTCCAAGTAGAAGGTAATGATCCGTGTCTATCAAACTCAAGTACCACATGTGATGCCAATTGCTAAGATTCTGAACGTTTTTGCTGAACCGCTCGATGTCCACGAAAATCCCCCGCTTTCACAAGCGTTCAGTATCATGGTCTCCGCCGTTGACCCAAGCTCAGCGCCAGGGAGCAGGTAACTACAGCACCTAAGTAAACGTCTGCAAATCAAGAGGCACGCTACTCTCTGAGATGGCCGTCAACTTGTTCTCTGTCTGTATAATGGTACCCGGATGGAACACATTAAACACGGCAGCAACAAGGAACATCAGCGCCGCATCGAAGACGTAAATGTACACCTCGCTTGCCATCAGCGCTCCGTTGCTACCAGTTACGTACTCGGCAACCCTGAACACCGAACGGATCATGATCAGAAGACTTGCGCCATACAAAATCCAGAGGAACGGTCTCCAGCGCAAGGAGGCAGAGTTGCAGGGATCAGTGGGGTTTTGGTTGATGCGATAGTGGAAGAGACAGGTGACGACGATAAAGCCTCCGAAGAAGAGGATTTGAACTGCGAGGCCGGCGATAATGATGTTCTCCCCAAGGTCGACGTCGGATAGGGATTTTGCTCTAGACAGGATTGCACCGCCTATTCAAGGTATGTATTAGCCCGACTACCCGCGGGTCTGAAGTCTCTTATTAAAGAGATAGAGAGGAACACACCTGCGCCCTGCGTCACGAAAGAAATCACGTCGCCTAAGACGAAGAGTTTGGTCAACCACTTTGTTCTGATCAAAGCCAGGTGCTCGGCCTCAAGGAAGCGAATGAGACGGCCCAGGACCATGTAGATAGACGCAGCAAGGAGCGCGGGCCCGAGAAGGAGCGTCAGGCTCTGGATCGTGTACGAGGTCGTCGACCAGTTCGGGGTTTCTGTTGCGGATAATGCACGGCCTATGTAGCCCACGATTTCAACTGTGAAATTGGAATATCAGTAAGTGGAAGGTATTTCTATCGCAAGATGCGCCCATGGAGGCATGGATCTGTGTCGATAAGCGTCACTTACAGCAGCAGCCAATCAAGAATGGAACAAAGTACCAGGCCCGCAGTTTGATCATCTGAAAAAGGTGCAGCGCGGATGAAATGCCGAAGAGGGCGATGAAGATGCATGCTGCCGGAAGAGAAGGGTCGTAGTGGTAGAAGACGAACTCGCCGGGGCTGTTATCTGTTGGTGAGTCCATGGTTGGGTGACCTCGAAGATGAAGTATAGACTTTTTTTCAGACAATGAAGCACTCTTCTATGGTGTCTTTGACGAGAAACCGAAGTAGTTGCAATAATAGGTATTTTCCTGGATAAAGTAATGGAAATTTGGCATGATGTTCCACCTCATGGTTATATAAACATCGCGTTGCTAGTAGCATATCCTTCCTTGGCTTCGATGACCTATCAACGATTTTTCTGATATCGATATCTCTTCCCGCAGGCTCTTCGTAAACATCATTGAGGCTATGCTTGCTGTTCTGTCGATATTAATATCTCATGTCTTGAAGTTGTCAATCTCTTGGCTTAAGTCTTGGCTGATGTTCGAATGACTGGTGGCCCTTGCGTCGAATACGTGTAAGTTTAGCACTGACTAGGTTTTGTCGCGGGTGTTGATTCACCCACTGTCTAAGCTTAGAAAGTCCGCGGCTCTTAGAAATCAAATCTCCGCAACCCAGTCTGCACACTAAGGATAGATAAATATGTATGAGCGGTCGATCGGCTTCGGATTCGGGCGCCCCAGTCCATTATCTCTGCAGTCTCGAGTCGATAATCGAAAGAAACCGGCCCAGTTAGTTGTGTCCCTCGCCTCTGCCCAATATGCCGCGAATTGGACACAAGAAGTCCCGTAACGGTTGTTCCAACTGTAAACAGAGAAAGGTCAAGGTGCGTCGGGCTATGGTCTTGTCTCCGCTTTGTTCCACCTCTTCCCACCAAGAAGACAACCCAAGGCTAACATAGCTTCAGTGCGATGAGAATCGACCTTGTGGCGCATGCGTCAGACTACAGATCGAGTGTAGCCTGGCGCCATCTTCAATTCAAGATGGCTCGCAAATCCGCGCCTCTGCACTAGATGGCCACGGAGACGACTCGTCGACCATCTCATCCAAGAGCACCCCACCAGGAGGAGCCTCATCGAAAACACCCCCGCCCTCTTTAGGGGCAGACTTCCCCGTCGGACCCGTGACCGAAAACGCCTACCCCTGGATAATGGATCTCGGCTTGATGAACCACTTCACCTCCGTAACCTCCGCAACCTTACCCGGTGCCAACCTTCACACCTGGCGCGACAAGGTTCCGGCAGTGGCAGCGGACTCGCCCTACCTCATGCATCAGATCCTCGCAGTCTCCGCCTTTCACCTCGCAACCATGGAACCACTTGGATCTTTCTTCACGCGAGCTCATATGCAGCAACAACAACAGCGTCAGGAGAAACTATCTTTGGCGTTACAGCACCAACACCATGCAATTCGTGGAGTTCAGGCTGAGATTTCGCACGTCACGCCTGCGAACTGCGACGCTCTCTTCGCTGCTTCGTCATTACTCTTTATTGGCGCCTTCGCTGCCTCTGGTCCAACGCTTCATAGTCCCTTCCGGCAACTAGAAGTTGATGACATCTTGGAGGTCTTTACCCTCATCCGCGGTGTCAGCAGTGTCATGGCCTCGGCTAGGGAGAATGTGCGACATGGCATATTGAAGGACTTCATGCAATGCAATCCGTATCTAGGCGGCAACGAGTTACTAACATTGCTGCAAGAGAACATCTCGCGAATTGAGTGTGGATTGGATCAGCAAGACGTTAGTCCGGAGATTAAGAATGTCATCAGCGAGACAATCTCGGACTTCCGGGATAGCATTGAACGGGCCTCTTCTATCACTCCCGAGTTGAACGTTGCCGTGTCTTGGCCCATGGTTTTGCGTGAAAACTTCATGGCCTTACTTGTTGTCAGAGACCCTGCGTCTTTAGTCATTCTTGCGCATTACTGTACCGTCCTTCATGCAGCGGGATCTCAATTCTGGTTCATGAAAGCATGGGGACGTCACCTACTTGCGGCAATAACTAGATCTCTTCCGCCAAGTTGGCGCAATGAGATAAAGTGGCCAGAAGACTACGTTAACCCAAGGCTAGCTAGTCAAAACGGAGATATCCCTCTGGCGAGTGTTAAATGAGGCGGAGAACCGAATCAATCCGTGGTCATTCTTCGATTAAGGTATATCAGCTGATTTCATTTCTCACCATGACCTTGAAAGCAATCTATATTCTCAAACAGAAGCTTTACGTACCTTGTTTCTCGTACTCCGCTGGTTGCCTAAATCAAGACACGGTATGATTACAAATGTCGAAAATGGATAGTACTAGACTTAAGGGACCAAGAACATAGAAATCATCGTGCGCAAGCTGGTGTGAGTGGCAATTCATGGAGACTTACAAAGTGCTCCGTTGCCAAGAATCAGTATCGATGCGAACCCGAAACAAAAGGCGTTTACCTTACATGAAGATGTCATCTACGACAGCAGTCTTCTTTGCGCATGGCTTTCATTGCAGCCACATGGACAGTTCAAACTTCCCGAGAACACAATAATTTGATCATCTTGCTTGGGGGCCAGCTTTTTCGCTCTCAATAATACCGTGTCTGCTGTAGTTCCTTGAGGCTGTGCTGCTGAAGACAGGCATTTACGGCTGATGGAGCACCTTGGCGCTCGTTACGACAATATAACGAGAAAACGAGTTGGATTTCATGATGTTGATACCCAGGGGAAGGGGTGGCGAATATGTATAAAGCCAGAGAGCTGATCTCGATCATTCTTCAAAACCGTCATCACATCAGACATCTTAACTTGAAGACATCACTTTTTAATCATTCACATTGAACCTATCTCTACCATATTACTTCATCATGTTGACGAAGCACCTCGCCTCTTGTCTCGCTCTGCTGCCACTACTCAGTGGACAGTCAGCTGCCGCCCCTGCGCCCTCCAAATGCACCTTAGCAACCACCGAGACGTGGGAAGTACTCAAACCCTTGGTCGGCGGTCCTCGCCAGGAGCACGCCGCCGTGGCTCTCGGCGATAGTATCTACGTTGTCGCCGGCATCGAACCCGACGCAAGCCAGCCGACCGGTGTCTCCACAATCGACTCTGTGGAGGTGTACAACGTTCCCAAAGACGAGTGGTCCTTCGTCGCGCCCCTCCCAATCCCTATGAACCACGCCAATGCCGCTGCGGCCAACGGCAAGATCTACATTCTCGGCGGACTCTCCGGCGGTGCGGCCTTCCGCGCGCTTCCAAACTGCTACGAGTATGATCCTGCGACCAACACGTGGACTGAGCTCCCTTCCATGCCCAATGGCACGGAGAGGGGCAGTTCCATTCTTGGTGTCACTGGCGATAGGATTATTGTTGCCGGCGGCATCAGTCTGCTCGAGCTCGGAGAAGATGGGCTCCAAGAGACTGTCGATACTGTCTCGTCTTACAATTTTATCACAAAGGAATGGGAGTCACTACCTAGTCTACCTGAAGGCCGCGAGCACGCCGGGGGTGGCGTCATCGGAAACAACTTTTACGTCGTCGGCGGCCGATTCCGCAGCCAGACGGCAGTCCGCGACACAGTTTACGTCCTCGACCTCAAGACGCTCAAGTGGAGCGAGCGAACGCGAATGCCTACCCCTCGAGGCGGTGTCTCAGTGGCTATTGTCGGGCAACGAATCTACACCTTTGGGGGCGAAGGAAATCTGGATCCGGAGGCTGGTTTTGTATTCAACGAAACGGAGGTGTACGACGCGCGCACCAACTCCTGGGAGAAGCTTCAGCCGATGAACACCCCTCGTCACGGCATGGCGGCTGTTGCGTACAATGGAAGTGTCTACACGCCCGGTGGTGGCATTCGCGACTTTGGCATCGTTGATAACATGGAGGTTCTTCACCCCAACACAGTTAGCTGGTAGAGGAGATAAAGTCGGAGTAAGCGTGTTAACCAGGTTTAGCCTCCCTTCAGGGGTATTAGTAAGTAGATCTCGCTTCGTCGGAGACTCGCCGGGGGAAGTTGGCAGTTTCTTAGCTAGCTATCAATCGCATTCCTCTTTTCTCAAAACTCCGCCGGTTGTCCATGAAGACCAAAAGATGCCCAATTCTATTTCGTCTAGTGGTTCAGGCACAGAGGGCGTGAGGCCCCTGCGTACAAGCTTTCCAACCAGGGGTCAATCCGAACCCGAGATAACTTTAAATGACCCCTGTAATCCGACGGACTAGGTGCGGACTTCCTTTGACGCTCACAGCATCCGTATCGAGATCAGTTGCAATGACATATGAATTAATACCTGGCACTTGAGGCTGGTTGACGATCTTCAATCTTCTGTTGAGACTTTCACTCAAGCATTACCTTTTTACGTTCCCTGCAGGGTTATCTGACTTGAAACCAAGTTATAACGCACAACTTCCGCCGCACACCTCCCTTCGATTCTGCCAGTGAAGATGCAAGCTTGGCAATACAGCTCCATCAAGGAGACACTAGAAAACTCCCTCACTCTCAACGAAAACGCGATCCCACCAGATGCATCATCGCTCTCCAAAGACCATGTCCTCATCGAAGTCATCTCAGCGGGCATCAACCCCGTTGAGTACAAGCTGCCCGAGATCCCAGTCTTTGGCAAGTTCATGCTCCAGCCGGACACGAGTCCAGGCTCAGACTTTTGTGGCCGAATCCGTTCCAAAAACGGTGCCGACGGATTCTCCGAGGGTCAGGTTGTCTTCGGGGCCTTGAGCATCGGGACCAAGCTCCCGCGGTTTGGTAGTCTGGGTCAGCTCCTCGTCGCTCCCTCCTCCAACATTGCGCCGCTCCCTATGGGCGTCGACCACGACGACGCAGCTGCTATAGGCACCGCTGGGTTGACGGCGTTTCAATCTCTTCCAAAAGAGTCGTTGAAGCCAGGGTCTAAAGTCTTTATCAACGGTGGAAGTGGCGGTGTTGGTTCCTTCACTATCCAGTTCGCAAAGGCTGCCGGGGCCTATGTGGTCGCATCTTGTTCGACGGCAAAGGTCGATCTTTGCAAACGTCTCGGGGCTGATGAAGTTATCGACTACCGCAAACTCAACGTTGTTACCGAACTCAAGAGAAAGGGGAGTGTTTTCGATATCGCTGTAGACAATGTTGGCAGCACAGAGGGCTTGTACGAAAGCTGCTCGCATTTCCTCAAGTCAGAGGGAGTGTTCGTGCAGGTTGGTATGTCAAAGTCGATGGTAGTTATGTTGCGGAGAAGCCTGTTGCCAGGTTTTTTCAGTAGTGGTAAGAGGAAGTTTCAATCCGTGAGGGTAACGCCGAGCCAAGAGGATCTGAGCTCAATTAGCAGGTTGATAGTAGAGGGAAAAGTACGAGTGTTGATTGATGAAAAGTTTGAGTGGCGTGACGCACCAAGAGCATATGCGAAGCTCAGGGAAGGACGTACAACGGGGAAGATTATCGTTCATGTCAACAAGACTTGAGAAGCAAGTTCTGTCATTGTTGGTTATTATCTAGGATCTGCCTCAAACAATCGCATAATCACACTTAAGCTTGGGAATTCCGGAATGCTGTCTCCATTGTACTCGATCACTCTTATAATACCTTATCGATACGTACAGCGTTTATGACATGGGGAACATCTCATGGTACGGATGTCGGCCGTGAGACACTCGCCATGAATATTCTTGGATTCTTTCCTCTCGCAAGGGTCGAAAGCAGACGAAAGCCTCTAAGGATCAACCGATCAAAGAACGAACGTTCAGCAGTAATAATAGTCTGGCATGGGAATTGGGTATAAAAATTTTCCTTTGAAGCAACGCAGTCTATATAATATCCATCCGCCCATATTAAATGTAGATGCAATTTTCGCTCAGCCCAAAGCGGAAACTATCGCAATTCTCTCATCAACACCTCCATAGAACCTGTCTAATTAGAGTCTAACTCCAAACGAGAAGCTAAGACAAGTTGCTCTCGATACAGACCTCACTACGTGTAATCTCACTGGTACTCGATGCAGATGGCATCGCTCTTGATGTCCATAACCTCAGCAATGGTGATGTTCTCGGCAATACCAGCCATCCACATGACATGGTTGAGCGTGGTCTCATTGCCATTGTCATTGAAGTAGGGCAGGAATGCGTTGACACCGAGGGAGGAGGGCTGCACGCTAGACCAGAAGAAACCCTGAGCGACGTTATTACCGCCAATATCAGTCAGACGGGACTCGTTCTGAGCCTGCCACTGCCACCAGAGACGGTCCAGGTTGGTGTGGTGGAGGAAAAAGAGCGGGTCGCCGGGTGAGAGCGAGGGGTCGTCCATCTGAGGGATGCCATTAGTCTCATGGCAGAAAAGGTGCGCATTGTGAGAATGGAGCAGTTGCTTACAGTACCGCCGATGGCGTAGTGGCCACCAGTGTGAGGGGAGGCACCCAAGCAGTTGTTCAGGTTCACATAGTCCTCCAGAGCCATGCATGCATCGATAATCTTCTGAGCGACCTGATCGTACTCCTTCTGCTTGAAGTCACGGCTCAGGCAGACAGGGGCGACACGGTTGAGCTCGGTGTCGAGAGTCAGTCTGACATTGGTGTAGGGTCCATCAACAACGCAGCCGTTCGCGTCAAGGGAAGCGGAGCCAAAGCCGGCCGTGGCGCTGGCGTTCAGGATGCTCGCGTTCTCCAAGGGCAGGACGGCTTGCTCAGCCTGTTCGTCCCAGTATCTGTATGTGGCCCACTCGTTAGTAACAGTATCGCCCAGGTATGGTTATGATGCATCTATGTCAAGCCCATAGAAGAGCCTTTAATGCAAAAGGGATGAAGTGGCTTGTAATGAGTCACTTACGGCATGGGGCCAGTGTAGCCGCACTCATCGCGGAGGAGCTTCTCCTGGACTGTCATGTACCAACGGTGCCAAGGGAAGAAGGCGCCCTAAACAACAAGCTCTGCATTAGCCTTCGTTTTTGATCGTGTACTCGCCTAATTCACTCGACGCTTAATGGGCCTTAACACTTACGACAGAGTGAACAAACTGAGCCTGAGAGACGTGGGCAGCCTGGAGTTCTTCCCAGCGAGTCGTGGAGCCAGCATACCCGGTCTTGGCAGGAGCCTGGGCAGAGTCCATCAAGCAAAGGGTCGCGCTAATGTACGAGGTCTTCTCATCGTCAGTCAGGGCGGACCTGTTGGATTCGTGTTAGCGAACTTCCTCTCCATAGCCTCGTTCTCTCAGGTGAAGAGGGCGGCACCAACCAAGATTTGCGGACGGAAGGATTAGTGCAGGCTGCTAGAACCCCCTGAGAGGCAGCCAGAATGGTGATGGCTGTGGACAAGAGGGAGGGCATCTTTGCTAGTGGACGAATATCTTCTGACTTTAAAGAGATAAAAAAGAGTGACTGTAGAGAATGACTTGTGGTAAAAGAACGAGTGATAATTACTTAGTGGCAATCGTAGTAAAGACTGTGAACTTGCCCGGAAAAGAGACATCCACTTCTTGGGACAGATGAACATCTATTTATCTAGACCAGATTCTAGTATACAGACTTTATGAAGGCATTCAGTTTACCTGGATCATTTCTGGCCAAGAATAAGCTGCCCGGCAGTCAGCCTCCATTCGAACTTGCTGTGGTTGCGTACCTGAGCATGGCGTAATACGCCAAGTCGGTTAAGGCCGACCGAGACCCCCGTGCTGCATAAGGTAGAGCATCCATTACCCCCACCGAGGCACATCTCCTTACCCGCGCTTCTAGCTGCATTCCAATAGGGGACAGAGATAAGGCCTTCTGGGGATGTTATTCCATCACTTACTACATTACACGAGTCGCTGTCCTGATCTAAAGTCTAGGACGCGTAGTCCGATGCTGAGTATAGACTAGTGCGGCTCAGGTTTAGATCGATATGGCAAGCACAAGGTTGTGGGCCCAATGTTCCTGGTGAAATCAACATGTGGTTCGTCATGTTGGTTGAGAAAGTGTGGACTGCTACTAGAGCAACCTTGTCTACTTTACACATTGGAACCCTCATGCAGTTCTGGTGTAGGTAGGTAGGTGACCTGGTGGTTGGTCAACATGCCGCAATAACCATAAGATGTCAAACTAACCGCGGCTAACGTCCGGGCATACCATTAAAAATAAGAACGTACTCCGCCACCGTGGCGGAGATTGCGTTCTCGGAGTGGGTTCAAGATGTTGCAATCTGTGGCACTTGCCGCACTCCGTCCGCTGGTCAATTCTCTGTTGTGATAACTACCTTACCCCTGAACAACTTAATCTAATCTTCACGGTCAGCTTTGTCATCCCTCCGATATCTGTTCTTCGAGCACGTAGAGCGAGTCATATCCTACTCCGTTTCCGACTCTTGGCTTTTAAGCTTTTCTTCGTGGAGGCGGTGCCTGAGATCTTCTCCCGCGGCCACGGGTACATCCGAAGGCATGCAAGCACACCTTTTGTAGTGGGCCATGATCGGGCCGTACTCTAACTAAGTATATCCGTGGTCTCCACGAAGAACATGCAGGGGCATCGATGTTCCTACAAAGTACGGATATCGCTGGACACAATGTTTTTTTTCGGGGATATCAGTAATCAAGATCTAGCATTTTCCAATCCAGGGCAATGATCAGGCTCCGTCTTGGATAGGAGCGTTTCTCCAAAGGGAAGTTGCCACACGAACATCGCTATTATTCTTACTTTACAACTCAATAATCACTGGAGGCCTTTTGAAGACTTACTTACCTCGTCCATGCTGTGAACGGCATCCCCGCGGATACGCGCATTTCATGACAAACACGGACCCATATCCGCCCCGCTCCGCCCCTGCCAGGCTCACCCCTTCCGCCCCCTTTCCTCCTCCTTACTACATACTATGCTGACCTATGCTTTTGTAAGATTTTAATAGGTTAACAGTCCTGAGCCATTCTTGATAGCAGAGTAAAAGCGTACGCGAGGTGCTTTAGGAAAGTT